CCATGTTGATCAGGCTGGTCTTGATCTCCTGACGTCAAGTGATCCCGCCCGCCTCGCCTTCCAAAGTGCTGGTATTACAGGTATGAGCTACCGCAATCAGCCATTTTTAACCTTCTTCAAATAAAATTACACAGGTGGAAAAAGTTTTTCTTTTCTTTTTTTTTTTTTTTTTTTTTGAGACAGGGTCTCACTCTGTCGCCCAGGCTGGTGTGCGGTGATGCAATCATGACTCAAGTGATCCTCCCCCCTCAACCTCCCTAGTAGCTGGAATTACAGGTGTGCACCATCACATCTGGCTAATTTGTTTTTGTTTTTGTAGAGACGGGGTTTCACTATGTTGGCTAGGCTGGTCTTGAACTTCTGATATCAAGTGATCCGCCCGCCTTGGCCTCCCACAGTGCTGGGATTACTGGTATGAGCTACCACACCTTGCCCGAAAACGTTTTCAAAATAATAAAATGGGCTGGGCAAGTGGCTCACGCCTGCAGTTAGAGGCCTGGAGACATTAAGTAAACCACCCAAGGTCACACAGTAAGGAAGGGGCGGATCTCAGAGTTACCTGGCTGCAAAGCTGGTGTCCCTTCCCCACTGTGCCTTAACTGCCGCCTTACAGCTGGGTTTGAGGATGCCTCCCTGGTCTAGGGTTATTATTCTATTTTCTTCTACGAAGTGTGTTTCTGATAAACGGAATTGATTATTTTCCACCGATGGTCCTTTGTCCATCTCTTTCTGATGGCAACAGAAAACTTCACCTTCAAGGGGTGCGCCTCTGCCCAGCGCCGCACCGTCTGAAAACTAAGCAGCGCCCGTCTGGGCAGTGAGGAGCGCCTCTGCCCCGCCGCGGCACCGCCTGGGAAGTGAGTAACGCCTCTGCCCGGCTGCCCCACCGTCTGGGAAGCGAGGAGCGCCTCTGGACGGCTGCGGAGCAACCCTCCAGCTGTGAAGTGGCAGCCCTGTGTGTGATCTTTCTGCTCTCCCCAAGTTTTCATTTTCGACAGTAAAATGTACTTTTAAATTAAAAGATTTATATTGGGGAAGGGGGCGGGGGGAGAGAGAGAGAGAGAGAGAGAGAAGAAAGGAAAGAAAGAAAGAAAACTTCACCTTCCAAAAACAACCACTAGGAGTCGGCTTTGTGCAGAGGTAGGACAAGCTTCTGTGCAGGTAGGGACGCTGCTGCACCCCCTCCCACCCAGGCATCCTCCTCCCTATCTGCCTTCGGGCGGCAGCCAGAGGAGTTCAGAGTCTCTACAGAGAGCACAACTTCTCCAGCTGGACTGAAGGGGGCCTGCCCCTCCACACCTGTGGGTATTTCTCGAAAGGTGGAGATGACAGACTGAGAAAGGAAATAAGACACAGAGACAAAGTATAGAGGAAGAAAAGTGGGCCCAGAGGACGGGCGCTCAGCATACAGAGGACCGGCACCAGCACTGGTCTCTGAGTTCCCTTAGTATTTATTGATCACTGTCTCTACCATCTTGGTGAGGGGGACGTGGCAGGACTATAGGCTAATAGTGGGGAGGGGGTCAACAGTCCCTGATGTAGGGTCCGGCCCTATGGGGCTTAGCAGGTATTCTCCCCGTGTGTGGAGACGAGTGATTGTAAGAAATAAAGACACAAAACAAAGAGATAAAGAGAAAACAGCTGGGCCCGGGGGACCACTATCACCAAGACGTGGAGACCAGTAGTGGCCCCAAATGGTTGGGCGCACTGTTGTTTATTGCACACAAAACAAGGGGGCAGGGTTAGGAGGGTGAATCGTCCAAGTGATTGATAAGGTCAAGCAAGTAACGTCATCATAGAACAGGGGGCCCTTCCCTACAGGTAGTCAAAGCAGAGAGGGAAGGCAGCATACGTCAGCGTTTTCTTCTATGCACTTATCAGAAAGATCAAAGACTTCAAGGCTTTCACTATTTCTTCTACCACTATCTTCTAAGAACGTCAAAGAGGAACCAGGAGTACGTGAGGAACATGAACGTGGACAAGGAGCATGACCATTAAAGCACAGCACTACAGGGAGGGGTTTAGGCCTCCGGATGACTGCGGGCAGGCCTGGATAAGATCCAGCCTCCCACAAGAAACAGGTGGAGCACAGCGTTCTCTGACTCCTCCAAGAAAAGGGAGACTCCCTTTCCCGGTCTGCTAAGTACCGGGTGCTCTCTTGGCAGGGGCGTCACCGCTTGACCAAGGAGCCTTCAAGTGGCCCTTACGCAGGTGGGACAGAGGGCTCACCTCTTGTATTCTCGGTCACTTCTCACAACATCCCTTCAGCACTTGACCATATACCCACCAGTTACATAATAATATTGATATTACTCTTAATAAAGGAGCGTAATATTAAAGAGTAATAAAGAGTAATATTAAAAGCTAATGATTAATGTCTATACTAATGATTGATAATGTCCATGATGATCTCTACAAATTTGTATTATAACTATTCTTATTGTAAGTATATTCTTTACTATACTGAAACAGTTTGTGCCTTCAGTCTCTTGCCTCAGCACCTGGGTAATCCTCCGCCCACACCTCTGAGGGGCTGACCTGCGCCCCACCTTCTGGAAGCTGGGAGGTTGGAAGAGGGAAGGCATGCAATGGACCCAGCACACAGCTGGGAACTCAAGGCACACCTAAGCCTTCACTTGTGCTGTGCGGAGTCCACACTTCCTTCCCCACTGGAGTCTCCAAACCTCCCTCACTCAACAGGGAGGTGCTGCTCAAAGTTCTGGGCACACATTAGGGCTGGGGAGGGGGCGGTGGAGAGGGGGCTCCAGCCTGTCCATCCACCAGACAAGGGGGCACCTGCCCGTCTCTCAGCCTGGTCTGGACCCGCCTCCCAGGCGCTGGCTGCAATGCCTTTCTCTTTCTCTTTCTTTCTCTTTGCAATTCCGTTGGGTCCTGCCCAAGACAGATAAAGACAGAGCAGCCTGTCTTTGTCTGAGGTTCCTCTGCCAGTGGGAGGGGCCAGAAGAAAACCAGAAAGAGGGCCAGAGTCAGAGAAACGTAAAGCACCCCAGGGTCTCCCACACCAGTGCCTGAGCAGGAACGGGGAGGGGCCATGACTCACAAGGCCCTGGGAGGTCACTTTAAAGAGGGCTGCCCAACTGCAGGGACTCTGTAAACGGGAAGAGAAGCCACAGCACTTCAGAAAAGAGTGGGACTGGACAAGCGTATCTAAGAGGCTGAACATGAATCCACAGATCAGGTACCTCTGCCCGCTCTGTCTGCCAGGCCCCTCCTGCCCCTTCCTGCCTGGTGGTCCTGCTGGGTCTCAGCCCTGGCCTCCCCCTGCCCCAGCCCCACCTCTGGGCTCCCTCCCCTCTGTCTCCCCCACCGCCGACACTCCCAGCCAGGCTCCTTGCCCTGCTATGTGGTCGCCCCACTGCTGCTTCTGAATGGGCCACCTTCCCCACCTGCACCAGCCCAGGCCCCCTGCTGAGACTCTCCCCAGAAAGTCACCACCGGGCTGGTGCTCCCCACCCTGGGAGGGTGCTCCCTCTGTGCGCTTCCCACCATTCCTGAGCTCTGGAACTGGGAGAATTGAACCAAAGGATGATTGGGTCAATCCGGCATTTTGTTCTCAGCACTTTGATGAAATTTCTGTAAGATTTACTTTGTTTCAATATAAAGTCTTAGGAGAGGGTGTAGGGGAGGGAATGGTCTCCGTACCAGAAAATATGTCATTTCTTCCAAAGATGCCTCCAGTGTGAACAGAGGAGGATGCACATGACCCCAGACACAGGCTCCTCCTTCGTGAGCACCATTCGCCTTTTAAAATGACCCTGGTAACATGGAATGTAGAAAAAATATGAAGATTAGGACAAATACCCTTATTTTACCCAGGGCATGGTGGCTTATACCTGTTATCCTAGCACTTTGGGAGGCTAAGGCGGGTGGATCACTTGTGGTCAGGAGTTCGAGACCAGCCTGGCTAACATGGTGAAAGCCCGTCTCTACTGAAAATACAAAAAATTAGCCAGGGGTGGTGGCGGGCGTCTGTAATCCCAGCTACTTGGGAGGCTGAGGCAGGAAAATCCCTGAACCCAGGGGCTGGAGGTTGCAGTGAGCCGAGATTGTGCCATTGCACTCCAGCCTAGGGGACAGAGCGAGATGCCATCTTAAAAAAAATAAATAAATAAAGGTAGCCTTGGCCTGGGGATTTCAGTGTGATATCATCATCGGACAGGTGAAATGGGAGGAAGGAACTGAGCTGAAATGTTCAAGCAATTATTTCAGGGTGAAGAGTTTTATTGTCTGTTGCATTTTCCTAATGGGTTGGGAGAAGTGTGGCAGAAAAACTGGGAGGTTGAGGGTGTCCATTGGTAGCCCCAGAGCTGGGGTTCCAGCTAGGAGAGGTCACTGCAGCCCTGCTGCCCCTACCAGCATCGCCTCCTCTTTCTCCCAGTCTTCCTGCCTGGGAAAGCAGCAGACATTCTCAGGACTGCGGAGGGATGGGGGAGGCCCAGAGCCCAGGGCCGTCTAGGGAGTGGTGTTCAGTGGGCATCAGCCCCCAGGACTCCGGCGGGGGGGTCTCTGCATTGGGGTTTCTCTCTTGTGCCCTCAGAAACCCGATGAAGGCAATGGATCCAGGCACATTCTACTTCCAATTTAAAAACCTATGGGAAGCCAACAATCGGAACGAAACCTGGCTGTGCTTCACCGTGCAAGTTATAAAGCATCACTCAACTGTCTCCTGGGAGAGGGGCGTCTTCCAAAACCAGGTAGCACCAAAGTCCTAGTTACACCCCAAATAGGAACTGAGCAGCTGGGAATGCAGAAAACACAATAAGTGACGTGCCCGGTGCGGGCTCTCCTGTGTGTACTTTCTTGCCACATGTCTTTTTTTTTTTCCTTTTTTCTTTCTTTTTTTTTTTCTGAGATGGAGTCTCGCTCTGTTACCCAGACTGGAATGCAGTGGCGCTATCTCAGCTCACGGCAACCTCTGCTTCCCGGGTTCAAGCGAGTCTCCTGCCTCAGTCTCCCGAGTAGCTGGGATTACAGGTGCCTGCCACCACACCCAACTAATTTTTTTGTATTTTTAGTACAAATGGGATTTCACCATGTTGGCCAGGCTGGTTTCGAACTCCTGACCTCAAGTGATCCACCAGCCTTGGCCTCCCAAAGTGCTAGGATTACAGGCGTGAGACACCATGTCTGGCCTCCTCCCCACATTTTTGAAGTCCGTGGCCCAGATCTTCCTCCCTGACTCTCCTGGGATCAGATCGTGGAGGGGTTTTGCTTCTTCCCGAAAGGCCTTGTTTAGCGCCCAGCACCCTCACTCTTGACTTTGTTTCCCAAAATCTTGTCATGGAGCTGTGCATCCGGCAGTCCTCGGGAAACAGCAGCTGTGGGAAGCAGGGGGTGTGGTGTCCAGCTCTGTGTCTGGGCCAGTCACTGCTGGGCTCGTGAGGCCGCCCCTGCCACTGCCCTGATTCCTCAGCAGAAGGCAGGCAGGGAACAAGGCAGACCCCAGAGGGCTAAGCCATAGCAGGGGCTGAGGATGCCTGGTGAATGGATACCTGGGAGAAAAGATGGCAGAATTCACACACGAGTCTATGAGACAGGGAAAGACTCAATAAAATAAAGAAGGAAGGGGCCGGGCACGGTGCAGAGGCTCATGCCTGTAATCCCAGCACTTTGGGAGGCTGAGGCAGGCAGATCATGAGGTCAGGGGTTCGAGACCAGCCTGGCTAACATGATGAAACCCCATCTCTACTAAAAATACAAAGATTAGCCAGGTGTGGGGGTGCATGCCTGTAATCGCAGCTACTCAGGAGGCTGAGGCAGGAGAATCGCTTGAACCTGGGAGGCAGAGGTTGCAGTGAGCCAAGATTGTGCCACTGCAGTCCAGCCTGGGTGGCAGACCAAGACTCCATCTCAGAAAAAAATAAAAATAAAAGAATAAAGAAGGAAGGAGAAGGATAGAACAAGGGAAACTCAATGAATAAAACACCCTGGGGCCTACTATGTACCCAGAAAAATGAAAAGTAAAGAAATAAAATAAGGCCATGCATGTGGTTTACCCTCATAGTCCCAGAGCTTTGGGAGGCTGAGGCAGGAGGATCGCTTGAGCCCAAAAGTTTGAGATGAGCCTGGGCAACATGGTGAAACCCCGTCTCTACAAAAATTACAAAAAAATTCGGCAGGTGTGGCGGCACACACTTGCAGTCCCAGTTAATTGGGAGGCTGAGGTGGGAAGATTCCTTGTGCCTGGGAGGTCAAGACTGCAGTCAGCCCAGATTGCACCACTGCACTCCAGCCTGGGCAACAGAGAGAGACCCTGCCTCAAAAATAAATAAATAAGGAAACGCCCCGGGGCTCTGGCCCACCTTCTGCTCCCATTGCCTCTCCCCTGCACTCCTCCTGCTCCTGGTTTGAGCTCCCCTGCTCTCCTCCTCCTCCTTCCCCAGGTCGATCTTGAGACCCATTGTCATGCAGAAAGGTGCTTCCTCTCTTGGTTCTGCGAGGACATACTGTCTCCTAACACAGACTACCGGGTCACCTGGTACACATCTTGGAGCCCTTGTCCAGAGTGTGCCAGGGAGGTGGCCAAGTTCCTGGCCAGGCACAACAATGTGATGCTCACCATCTATACCGCCCGCCTCTACTACTCCCAGTATCCGAATTACCAGCAGGGGCTCCGCAGGCTGAGTGAGGAAGGGGTCTCTGTGGAGATTATGGACTACGAAGGTGAGATGTGGGGTGGCTGAGGTAAGCGGGTTCGGGAGGGACAGCATGAGGGGCAGGTGGGTCTCCAATGCCGTGGGGCGGGGCAGTGTCCCCTGGGAGTCTGTGGGGACGGAGCTGGTGCCCACTGCAACTGGCAGTCAGGAGACCTGGCCTGGGAGGGGAGGGCCCAGGGCCTGGAGAGAGGCCTGCTGGGTCCTCACTGCTTTCTCCTCGTTTTTTCTCAGATTTTAAATATTGTTGGGAAAACTTTGTGTACGATGATGGTAAGCCGTTCAAGCCTTGGAAGGGACTAAAAACCAACTTTCGATTTCTGAAAAGACGCCTACAGGAGATTCTCGAGTGAGGGGTCTCCCCGGGCCTCATGGTCTGTCTCCTCTAGCCTCCTGCTCATGCTGCGCAGGCCTCCCCTCCACCCTGGACCAGCTCTGTTTCTGCCTGGTCATCCTGAGCCCCTCCTGCCCTCAGGGCCATTCCACAGTGCTCCCCTGCCTCACCACCTCCTCCCCGCTCTCCCAGGCTCTTCCTTCAGAGGCCCCTTTCTGCCTCCATGGCTACCCATCCACCCCCTCAGACCCCATTCCTCCAGCCTGCGTGCCCCTAACCTGGCTCTTCCCATCTCCCCAGCATAACCAAATCTTACTAAACTCAACCTAGGCTGGGCATGGTGACTCACGCCTGTAATCCCCCAGCACTTTGGGAGGCAAAGGTGGGAGAATCACTTGAGCCCAGGAGTTCGAGACCAGCCTGGGCCACAGGACAAAGCCCCATCTCTACAAAAAAAAAAAAAAAAAAGCTAGATGTGGTGGCATGCACCTGTAGTCCAAGCTACTTGGAAGGCTGAAGTGGGAGGATTACTTGAGCCCTGGAGGTGGAGGCTGGAGTGAACAGAGATCGCACCACTGAACTCTGGTCTGGGCAGAGTAGATCGAGACCCTGCCTGAAAATAAATCAATAAATAAACTCACCCTAAATGGGTGTGAATATATGTAAATTTAATACCAGAAGTTTTGAGAAACATCCTTTGTAAATTTCATCCTACGAATTGGGTCATTCATGTCCTACCCAGCTAAAACAGAGGCCAGGAGCCAGGGAGGAAAAGCAGTCAGGCCACACGCCTTTGCTCCCGAAATGGACTTCTCTGCAAGCCTGACTCCTGAAACTGTGCGTTTACCCTGAAACCAGCTTTATCCATAGCTTCTGCGATAAATGGCTGTAAGTCGTGGACTCCTTGCTCCAAAAGCAGCGACTCAGCAATGGAACCTCCCAGCTCCCAACGCTTCCTAGTGCCCACGGGCTTTCCCAAAGGGCAAGAGAACGTTTCTCCTCCTATAATTGCCATCTCTTTGTTCTCCCGACATGGTGAACACCACCCGGACTGCGGGTATGTCCCAAATTACAATTCTTTCTTTGCTAATGAAATATGAAATTTAGAGGCTCTTCTCCACACTTTAAATTTGACTTGACATTTTCAAGGCAGATGTAAGTTATTAGAGAATGAGACTCTATAAAAATGACCCCTTCATGCCGTGGCCTCCATAGAAGATGCCCCGGGCCAGGTGTCCACACGGCAGGCATTTATTTTCTCGCAGATCTGGAGGCTGCAGGTCCAAGTTCGAGGGTTGGGTGGAGTTGTTTTCTCTGAGGTCAGTTCTCCTGGCTGGCAGGGAGTCGCTTCCAGCCATGTCCTCTCTCGCTTTTCCTCTATGCACCTGCACCTCTGGGGTCTCTCTGCCTCCAAATATCAAATATCAACCTTTTTTTTTTCTTTGAGACAGAGTTTTGCTCTTGTTGTCCAGGCTGGAGTGCAATGGCACGATCTCGGCTCACTGCAACCTCTGCCTCCCGAGTTCAAGTGATTCTTCTGCTTCAGCCTCCCAAGTACCTGGGACTAAAGGCATGCGTCACCACACCTGATTAATTTTGTAATTTTAGTAGAGAAGGGATCTCACCATGTTGGCCATGCTTGCTCTCGAACTCCTGGCCTCAGGTGATCTGCCTGTCTTGGCCTCCCCAAGTGCTGGGATTACAGGTGTGAGCCACTGTGCCCGCCTGGGATCATATGTTACATGCATATTTGTTTGATAAGCCTGGACTGCAACCACCTACATGAATATTCATAGCTCCTCCTGTAGCCTGTTGAATATGTATGTTTAGCCAACCCCTTCAGCATCAAGCTCCTGCCCCAACCCCTCCTGCTTCTAAATGTCTGTATCTGGTGTTTCCCAGAGGCTGCTTTTCCCAGGCTGTAGGATGGCCACCTTGCAGGCTATCACGCTTATCAAGAAATAAAGTGTTCTTTGCAAAAGTATACCTTGTGTAATTTTTAGGTCTCTGCACCATGGGAGCACGCTACCAGGGGAAGGGAGCTGTGAGACCCACAGGAAGGCTCCAGACAGGCTGGCCTGGGACACCAGCCGCTGCCCTTCCATGACATGGGGACAAGAGAGGGCAAAAGTTCATCCAACCAGGGAGCAACTCTGGGCAGGAGATGGGGAAGGAGGAGAAGCAGGAAGGAAAGAGCTCAGTTTGGGGGTGCGCATGACATCTTGGTGGGACATCTGAGGCCCACACCCACCTGCTGTCCCCCACTCCCATGGTGGCCTCCTAGTGTGAAGGCCTGGGGGGAGGCAGATGCCTTGCCCTTCACTCTCCCTCCCTGTCCCCATGGCTCCTGGGTGGGGGGCTTCTCTGGGTTGACACCTGAGAGCAGGATCTGGGGGTCCCTGCAGAGACATCAGCCTGTCTATCTTGATGGCGGAGAGGAGGCTCCAGCTGGGTGGGACCACCAGGGGAGGGACGTCTGCTCTGCTGGCTCAGCCTAGTGTGGACCCACCTCCAGGCCTCTGGCTGCAATGACTTTCTCTTTCACTTTGCAATGGCCTTGAGTCCTGCCTCAAGGAGCAGCCTGTCTTTGTCACAGGTCCCTCTACACAGGGGAGGGCCCCAGAGAAAACCAGAAACAGGGTGAAAGACTGGGTAAGATAAGCATCCCATGGCCTCCCACACCAGCGCCAGAACAGGAAGGGGGAGGGGCCAAGACTCACAAGGCCTTGGGAGATCACTTTTTTTTGAGACAGAGTCTCGCTCTCTCACCGAGGCTGGAGTACAGTGGCA